GGCATACAACACAAAAGTAGCAGGAGAAGAATTTATTAAAGAATTAACAACGAGATTCAAGATAACAACTAAACCTGTTTCTTACTTTCTTGGAATGGAAATAAATGTGCGCAAAGACAAAGGAATTATCTTATGTCAAAAGGCTTACACAAAGAAAGTTTTACAAAAATACGGCATGTCTAATTGTAAATCAGTACCAACGCCGATTATCAAAGAAAATGAGATGGGAGAAGAAGAGCACGTAAATGCAAACTTCCCATATAGGCAAGCCGTGGGCTCCTTAGCATATTTAGCAGTAGGTACAAGACCCGATATTTCATATGCTGTGGGTGTAGTATCTCGTAATTTGGAGTCACCTAAAAAATCAGATATACTGCGCGTCAAGCGTATCTTTCGCTATTTAAAAGGCACACAGAATTATGGTCTTATTTATACACCCAAATCACCGTCATACTTAGTCTGTTACAGTGATGCAAACTACGCTGGAGACCAAACAGATGGAAGGTCAACGTCTGGCTCATTGTGTTTATTTTCTGGAGCAGCGATTAGTTGGAAAAGCCAAAAGCAATCCACTGTATCGATTTCTTCAACAGAAGCGGAAATCATAGCAGCCAGTGAAACAGCGCAAGAAATATTGTGGCTTAATCGCTTACTAAATGGTCTTATTCAAGCAGACAAACCTGTGCTAAACTTAGACAATGAGTCAGCTATAAAACTTGCACACAATCCGCAATATGAGTATCATAAGCGTACGAAACATATAAAGTTGAAACACTTCTTTATTCGAGAGTGTGTGTGCAATGAAGAGTTTATGGTCAAACAAGTGACCTCAGAGCTACAGCTAGCTGACATGTTCACGAAGCCTCTATTTGGCCCAAGGTTGCAGGAGTTAAGCAGACGGATTGGGCTGAGAAATTTAGATGTCTAACATCTAAAAAAAAAAAACGGAGGATGTTAAGTATATACATACCAAAGACAAGTATATGAAGATACTTGTTCCTAGTTCTAAGTTCTTAACATGTTTTAGTTGCTTAGTAACTTGTTGTTATTTTATAAGAAGAGTTTCTGTTATGTTTTCTTCAGTCAGTAAATATTTTATTCGAATTCAATAGATATTCTCATTTATTCTTAACAATATACCTCCCGATATGTATCAAATATAGTGTGTTTATATATACTATGTCTATGTTATTCGAACAAACTAACATGACTTCTGACTAAAATTACGTTTGTGCAAAGTGTAACGTGCAAGTAACTTTTGCTATCGAAATTAAGACTTTGATAATCTATAAATATAATCGTTTATTAAATCTTATATTCATAATTAAATCATCTTAATAAACATTCAGCAATCAACAAGAAACGTCTGTTCTAAAAGAACAGCAAGGTTATAACTTTAAATTTCAAAATCACAAAGACACGCACAGTTATTATACTATTGCTACTGATCTTGCGTGTCGACGAACCATATGTTAATTCGTACAGTGGGTATGTGCTTTTTGGTTCTTTCAACAATATTGTAAATAATAGATTGACTTACTACACAACCTACTCTAGAAATCTGTTTTATTGAAATATATTATTTACTAAGTACCTAGAGTAGTCATGCTCTCTTAAAATCTCTGCGGTGGTGTCGTGTGCGTTAGGTCGTTACGTTCCCTCAAATATAGTATAGTTGAAATTAAAAAAGCAACCCTTGTTGAGTTTCTTGCCGATTCTTGTCAGTACGAGATCTCCCGCCCTAGTTTTGCGAACCATTGGCAAAGTTTTCGATTTTCACAAGTACTAAGTAACAGCCTAGACTGAATTGACTTTTATATTAATATTATTCGTTTTGTGGATGCATACTGACACATACAAATACAAGCTGAATTCTGCGCTCCGCTTTTTATTCTTAATTCCGAACCTGAATTTGGATGAAAGTTACGAGTAACCAATAAGTTTGCTCATCATTAATATTGATGTATAAACCAGACATCGTTCCTTTACACGTAACATAATAAACAATTTCAACTTACGATTTTAAAATTAATTTGAAAGTTAGATATTATAAGAAACACAAAACGATGTCATATTTATTAATTTTCGATTTACTTTTATGACGTCAGAAACAAAATTTGAATATTCATTCAATATTCATCATAAGCAAAATTCAAACATCACGAGTGACATCTAGTATGATTTCAAGAACTATTTTTTATTTTTTAAATACTTCCTCATTAAACTAGCTGTAACCGCGATTTCGTACGCGTGGAAAGTAGCCTTAGTAATTTCTTATTACATAAGCTATCTGCCAGTGAAAGTCTCGTCAAAATTGGTCTAACCGTTTCAGAGTTTAGCGGGAACAAAGAGAAAAAATGAAAAAAAAAATATTTTGGTATAGGTATGTACGTGTGCATTTACTAAGAAATGCTTAATTTATATTTGTTAAAATAAAACTGTAAGATCCGTTTCATTCATTCATCAGGAGTTCTCCGACCAAATAATAAAGTTACCTATTTGTTCCTGGGAGTATTAATAAGTAATAGAATATCTACTAATAATATTTACACTTGTGATCTACAATGATCACAAGTGTAAATATTATTAAGTAAGTAGGTACTATACTAACGTTTTAAACTATTCCTTTTGCTAACGTTTTAAGAAATAATAGATGGTTAATAGTCGATTAGGAAATAATCGATAGCAATTGATGAGAAATAAATTAATTGATTAACTGTAATGGATACCGCACACCATTAGTTATAATATTGTAATCTTTGATTTACATACGTAGTATCTTCTTCTTAGTCTGTGATTTACACATGATTTGATGAATCGATTTTCCGAGTAATCGACCTCAGATCGACATGCCTACCACGGTTCCCAACTTAGGGGTTTTTCCCCCAACTTTAGGGGGTTATTGAATAGGATGGGATTTTTTGGGGGTTTTATATGTTTAGGGGTTTTCTGAATACATAATATTCTGTAATTCTGAATATAATAGAACTATTCAATCTAATAATAGTCATTCAAATATTTTTTATTACTCATCGAATGACTTCGGATTAAATGACATCTATACTCCATTCATTATAGCATTACACAGAGGTAAAATAAGGTTCTTTTTATGGTATACTTTGTGACAAAATATCAATAATCATGTTACTCTTAAGACTGACGATTAATTTGCTACATATTCACTTAAATACCAGCTGCTATACTTAACTGTTATCATTTAAGCTATCTATTGAGTATTTGATTTACTTAAATGATTTAATAACTATTACAATAAAAAGTGTTCATCTTAAAGAACCTAAAGAAGCAGGGTTGGATAGTTTCGGCACGATTCTCATGTCACTATAATTCTACCAAATTTAAAACGTCGCCTAATCCCTTTTTACCGATTATTGAATTGGGTCACCACTTTACTGAAATGTTATGTGTTTTATTTATTAGTATGTAGGTTGATATTTAACTTATTGATAAGTTTACTATCTGACTCTATTTATACGAAGGATCGGTAAAATAAATAAACGTGTTCACAGTTATGAGTTTACTTTCAGACTATTTGATGTTGAAGTGCCACTTACAAAATACAAAATATCATAGATTACGTTTCCACAGAGTTGTCGACAAAGATTATAAAACAGATGTGCCACACCTTCAAACATTTCGGCAGTACAGTTTTTTAATTTTGTCAGACTATGATGTATTCATAATTGTCAAAATACGTAATCTGGGATTGTCATCCATCGTGAATGTTACTGCCTTTCTTGTTGTTTTACCCGTGATTAAGTTGTTATTGTTATATTTTTGTTGTTAAGTTTTATTAAATATGGACGATGCCGGTGCAGGCCCGAGTAGCCTGCAACAATTACGCTGTAAGCCCCCATACCTACCCTCAACCTTTGAAATTTCAAGAAGTTTTTCCAATGTCTTCATCAATAGTCTAATGTCTGAATAAATGTTATAAAAGTAATTATAAAAATTTCATTTCGTTTACCATACTTTACTGGGTATAGATATAACTACATTCTATTCTAATTATAATCAAATCAACAGAGTTTTAGTTCCATCATGGCTTGGGAGTAAAAGATGAATTTAGAAAATGCTGACCTCATCTCAAACCTGAGGTATTGTAAAAATTAGAAAATTGCACAGCTCTTTCAGACTCCCTAACGTTCAAAGTTTCAACAAAACTATAATATATATTTTTAAAATTTGTCTTGAAAATAAAATGTTCTGCACTACTGCTTCTATGACCCTCTTTTTCTAATGTTATAATGAATGGAGTATAGTGTAATTATATTTAACTACTCTCTAATTACTAGTATCGCTTCCTAACTTACTGTTTAGTCTGTGCTTTCTTCCTGGTCTGTGACAGGCGACTAGAAATTTCAAGGTCATGTTCAAATAGTAAGCTGTTATGTTATTGTTTGTGTGTAATTACTACATATTGCTTTTATTTTATATACCTAGTATTTTTATAAAATATATTTTTAGGGGAATTTTCAAATAATTGAGGCAATTTTAGGGGGTTTTGACTTAGATTTAGGGATAAATATTATTGAGAGTTGGTTACACTGATGCCTACGATCCATCCATATTATTAAACGCTCTACATTCTATAAGGATAATAACGTCATTAAAATTGCATTGCATGATCATCAATGTAAACCGTTTATCTGATCTCTTAAAGATGTTTACGTATTGTTGCGAACGTGACCGCCGCTTCTTGGTGATTGCGGATATTGTAAAGCGAGTCGCCCAAACATCAATCTTAAGTACTTTAAAGCGTTGTGGAAAATAGATATTGTATCAGTGTATTGTATTGTATTACTGAAATGAATTGTATTGTATCCATCATTGTACGGACTGAATATGTTATGAAAATAAATGGGGTCTTTATTTCCAAATTTATGTCATTTGTACTTTGTATATAAACTGGAAATATTGTGTCTGGAGAATTTACGGGGTAGCTCCGCATGTGGTTTTGCTTAAACTAAGGTGCATGTTTTATCTCATCATCATCAGAAAAGTTCACCACTACATCTGCTTTTCCTTTCGGTGTGTGCAGATTCAATTCCTCCAATGTCAGAAGCCATTGTCAGTTTTCAATAAATAATTTAAGTGGAATTTACTCAAACTTTACCAATTAAATAGCTTTTTTAATTATTTACAGGAAAAATTGAAACCTCCCACCAAAAATATAATAACCTTGATATGTAGTTCCGAAACCGATATCATAATGATTCATCAGTATTGTTTCTTGTTTTTTATATGAACATCCCTTATATCTACTATATTAATATGCTACCATTTTTATTTTATTCAATAGTTTGAGTATATTTGTTAAATCTTAATTTTAGAGCTATCAAACTAATTTTAAGCGATATTTACTAGTTCTCATATAATATTGTTGTTGCTGAACCCATTCATAATCACCATTATTATTCAATTTGAAGTACAGAATCACAAAAATACAGATAATCAAACCTTAAAAAATTTGAATCAGTTTATGGAACCAATACACAAAATACTAATAAATTGAGAATATCCTTGTTCTTTGATATTTAGCCTTCTTAATTCAACTTGTTACCAGACCTATAAAGATGCAAAATGCTAAAAAATAATACAAATTCATCGAAAACAAAATATATAATAACACTATTTTTTAAAACAATGATTAATTTCAATATGGCAATAGTTTATTGTTATAAAATAATTTAAGTTACATAAGTATATATTTACAAAGCATTTAAATATTGCAAGGAGATATTGCTCACTGAAACCATGTTCTATGAATTGGCAAATGCAAGCACTTCACTTGCTGGTTTTTAACCACTTATTAAGTAAATAATTATTAAGAGCTTCAGTTAAAAAATCAGTCATTCATCACCTTTTCCCACAAGGATAACTGCTTCATATTTGAGTCTCCATTTTTCAGCTTCCTTTTTGAAGTCATTGGCTCTTAATTTTTCTTCTTCTAATAAAGACTTTGTTTCTTGCAATTCTTTTGCAATTGCATCTTTGTCATTATCATTTATTGTATTAGCAAGTACAGTATTCTTTGCTAATTTCACAGTAGCTTCTGCTTCTTTAATGATTTTTTCTGCTTTAAGACTTAATTCATCTTGAATTATAAGCATTGTTATTAGGCGACGAATAACAAATGCCAAGAAAATTGCAAATCCAGTAATATAAAAGTTTCTCTGAGCCCTGAACAGCTTCACATTACCTTTGAGCTCACTACCTAAATGGGTGTGGCTGGTATCAGATCCATGTGAGTATTTTCTCATCTCTCTTACAGCATCAATTAGGAACAAACTCAGAATGCCAAGAAGCCCATAGAAATAAACGGCAGCATGCTCTTGGATAAATGCAAATAGACGCGATTTAAAAAACTGATGCCATCGACGAGGACTGAAAATTGGTAATATCATGATAATTACAACGGCTGTTTCGAAATACAGATAGCCGGCGATGAACGTCCATTGAAAAGACATTTTCTTAATATCCTGCCTTTCGATACTTAAAAGTTTTATGTTTTTTTCTCTTGAAAAATAGTAAAGAAAAATAACTTGACCACTTCAATATTTTTTAGATGTTCTTTCACAGTTTTCAGGCACTTAGTGTATGGTAAAGTTTATGTTATAACATAACCAGAAACTACATGCTATCAGACGGCAATCTCCCATAGAACAGTTTCGTCAAAAAAGTAAGCTGTCAATACTGGAATGACACTTATGAATAATGATACTAGGTGTTTCGTTTTTTTTTTTTGTTCTGTTTCTTCCATTTACTTTGAAATGGGAAGGCACCTATATAACTATGGGTATATGTCGCAGGCATTCTGTATGAAGCCGCCGTTTACATACGGCGTAATTAATCCATAGAGAAATATCTAAGCGTTGTTACGTTGTACGATTTTCAATAAGCGTTTTTGAAAACGCTTTTTTCAACTGACGTTTGGAAATTGTTATAATAAGTGTGGAATGTTGTGTTGTAGTTATTTATGAAACTAACTTGCTTTGACTTAAATAAATAAAATTAAATAATAAATATTTTTTCAAAGCTAACCAGCTAAATCCAAATAAAACGAAATTGTTGTAAGTTAGCAAAATATTGATAACATCTAATATTTTTTTGTATTTTATTTCAATCGATGAATTTTCCTTCGTACTTAATCACAGATTTAGGACTGTAAATCAATATAATAAACTTTTAATTTACGCAATCAATTAACTTTCAACACAACGCGCGCCTACTCTAACAACGATAAGCGTACTACTGCTTTATAGCGATGGGCGTTGAATCAACGGATTAGTTAAATCAACCGTTAACGTAGAATCAAGTTCTTTGGTTAACTAGTTGAAAAATCGACGCCTTAACGAAGAACCCACCGTTCGTCTAACAACATGTTATGAAACTGCAACGCATCATTTTCCATTCATAAAGATTCGATGTAACTTTGATCGCTGAAATAATTTAAACTCTAAAGTCAATGGTAGTAAGTAAATATTTCAATACGCGCGTCTAATACATAGGCCTTGTATATATGAATGTTAAATGTGATTGTTGTTTACATTTGTTTCTAATAGATGGTGTTATACAGTTCTTGTATTTATCTACACGGCGGTGTTAAGAATTTTACTAGTTAGTATAGGTCAACTTTTGTTACAATATAAGGTTATTTAATAGTTTTGCATACACTCGTCTAATTGTGTGTTTTATTAGGGTTTATAGTTTTTTTTTAATTTAAAGAATTTAATTCACTCTGGGCAACTGTTATATGAATAATAAGATTAATAATTTTATTTAGAACCAAAACAAACAAAACCTTTAGTTCAGTATATCTATAATATTATGTTAAAATTAGAGATGGGTCGTTGACAAATTTTCCGTCGACGAAACGAAGCCGTTCATGGACCTTGATCGACTAGTCGATCAACTAGTTGATTTTAACTATAGTTGACATATAGAACTACCTCAACGGGTATGAACTTTGGACGAAGTTTAACGGTTTAAATTGTTTTATTGAACCGTATATCAATATTGAAAAGTAAACATTCTTGATCATCTGTACCTGGTTATGGTTTTTTTTTCGTGTTAACGTAAGAATATCTATTGTCAGGTAGGTTATGGTTTTATTTTGTACATCTGTGGTTATGATGGTTATGAAGGTAAGGATGGATGGCTTAACAGTTCCATGGTTTTTTTATTGTCGAAAGACAGCGCTAGTATTCTAATTAGATATTGTTTTGGGTTTTGTAATTTAAACGAAACCGTAGTATTAAGTCTTCGCCGTCTGTCTGTCACCAGGCTGTATCTCATGAACCTTGATCGATAGATAGATAGTTAAAATTTTTACATAAGATTCATTTATTTTGACAATAATGAACAAATACTAAAAACAGAATAAATATTGGCTTTTATTTAATAAAATAATGTTTTTGCTCGATATCGATACTTGCAGCGAGATGACCCTTGAAATATTTACCGAAGATTTGTCCTATATACGTATTCACTTTAAAAATAAACAGTTAAATTAAAATAAAATAAATACTCAAGTTGGCTCCCGTACAAATACAATAGATTTTTTTTTGCCGTTTTATAATGGTATGTATGTACGGATCTCTTCGTGTGCGAGTCCAACTCGTACTTAGCCGTTTTTTAAACACACAGTTAAAATAAATATTATGAAATTTTTCTGTAATAGGATAATTAATTTAATTAATAATTAATTAAAATAATAAATTAATGAATCACTATATAATTCGGATGCAAAAAAAGACAAAAAAAAAAGTTGTATATAGTAGAAAAAGTTAACTTATACTACGTAGTAAATTCTTAACACCGCCATGTTAAAAATTGTATAACACCATCTATCGGGGACTAACGTAAACAAACAAAGTCTAACATGTATTTAAACAAGGCCTATGTATTAGATACGCGTGTTCAAATATCTACTTACTTCCTTTGACTTTAGAGTGTAAATTATTTTAGCTGTCAAAGTTACATGAAATTTTAATAATGGAAACAACCGCATTCCATTGTATTATACAGATAAAGTTATGCGTTGCAGTTTCGTAACATGTTTATAGATGAACGGTGCGTTCTTCTTTTAGCCGCCTTTTAAACTGGTTGTTTTATTGTATTATTATACGACAAAACTAAAGCGTTGTAGTCTAGGTGTACGTTGATCAACGAACGTAACGCTCTTCATCTGATCATTGAAAATTCGACTAGTTGAATTATCAACTATAGTTAACGTATGCAACTACGTCGACAGGATGGACGTCGACGGATGGGAGTGTGCGTTTATTTATGAACTACAACCAACGTACAAATATTAACCTTATTGGATGGACTATATAGACTTTCGCAGTTGGCCGAACTACTTCACGTTAATGGATATAAAAAATAATATAATATTTATTTTGTGTAAGATCGTAGTTACCTAGGTGTAGGTATAATAGAAGAAATTTACGGTTTCATGTTTTTTAATAATCTAACTAGAAATCTTTAATAAATATTTTATTATATTTATCAATAAATATTATTTTTCGTCTATAGTGATATGTTTTACTATTTTAACATAATTATTATAGATATATTTATAATAATTATATAGGTTTTGTTTGTTTTGGTTCAAACTAAAATTATTAATCTTAATATTCAAAATTATTCATATAACAGTTGCCCAGAGTGAATTAAATTCTCTAAAATAAAAAAATCTATAAATAAACGTTCTTTCAGAGAAAGAAAGATTAGATAGATTATTCAGACAAAAAAAATCCCAAGGAAACCCTAATAAAACCCACAATTGGACGAGTATATGCAAAAAACTAAGAAAAAAAAATTTGTACTGCAACAATAGTTGACCTATACTAATTAGTAAAATTCTTAACACCGCCGTGTAGATAAATACAAGAACTGTATAACACCATCTATTAGAAACAAATGTAAACACAATCACATTTGACATTCATATATACAAGGCCTATGTATTAAACGAGCGTATTGAAATATTTACTTACCGCCATTGACTTTAGAGTTTAAATTATTTCAGCATTCAAAGTTACATCGAATCTTTATGAATGGAAAATGATGCGTTGCAGTTTCATAACATGTTGATAGACGAACGGTGGGTTCTTCGTTAGGCGTCGATTTTTCAACTAGTTAACCAAAGAACTGTCAACCGTCGACGCGTTGATTCTACGTTAACGGTTGATTTAACTAGTCCGTTGATTCAACGCCCATCGCTAGTTAAAATAGTAAAACATATCACTATAAACGAAAAATAATATTTATTGATAAATATAATAAAATATTTATTAAAGATTTCTAGTTAGATTATTAAAAAACATGAAACCGTAAATTTCTTCTATTATACCTACACTTAGGTAACTACGATCTTACACAAAATAAATATTATATTATTTTTTATATCCGTTAACGTGAAGTAGTTCGGCCAACTGCGAAAGTCTATATAGTCCATCCAATAAGGTTAATATTTGTACGTTGGTTGTAGTTCATAAATAAACGCACACTCCCATCCGTCGACGTCCATCCTGTCGACGTAGTCACAGTGTAAATATAAGTAGACAGTGGTGAAACTGCCTACAAGCGTTCGAAATCGCACGCACACATAAACACGCTCACCGACGTGCCGCCTAAGTGGACCTAACAGGACGCTCAGTAACGCGTATCGAGGTTTACAAACCATGTGTAAATGTATGCAGGAATATTCTTTTTCTTTTTAATTAATCAATAGAATATTTTACAAAGATGTTTCTTTGAAATTATATTTTAATTATGACCATATTTATCAACATTTATCGGATATCGCTTAATAATAGCATTAAAACTAAATAAAGACTAAGATAAACCCTGCGGAACGCAGTTCGTTTCGGTTAGGAAATAAATAAAAATCAATATTGTATGAGACGTGTGTATGGGTGGTGATGTAGCGCTCGACCTGCTGCACAAACCGGGAGAGATTCAGGGCGGGTTCCAGCCGAACGACGGCGCGTACACGGAAGCCATCCGCACAACCACAGTGTAAATATAAGGAGACAGTGGTGAAACTGCCTACAAGCGTTCGAAATCGCACGCACATATAAACACGCTCACCGACGTGCCGCCTAAGTGGACCTAACAGGACGCTCAGTAACGCGTATCGCGTCGAGACGAGGGGTGACGTTACACGTTCCGCGATAGTTTTATTTAAAAAATGAAGGAAAGAAGTAGGCTTATGTGAAATAAAAAATAAGTTTTTTTTAGATTTAGATGTTTTTTTTAAATACCCGTTTCAGTATCATGCATATTTTCGGGTTGAAACATAGTACGGTCCCACCCGAAAATGCTTGATAAACACCCAAAAACAGCCGCTCATGAGCGCGCCACCTAAATGCAGTGCCTACCTACCGCGCCTTCGATCCAAAGAGAGCACGAAACGTTGGACGTTTCGTGCGCTCTTCGGCTATGTGTCCGTCAAAACTTGTACAAGGTTATGCCGTAATGTCAAGTTAAAGTCAACATAAAAACAAAGATTTACAAGTTGTGTCAATATTAAACTATTTCTCGTATGTTAAACTATCGTCTTTTACTGAGATTAACCGACTTCAAAAAATGAAGGTTATCAATTCGACCTGTACGTATGCTATATTTCCAGAACTGCCCAGTTTTCGCATATGTTATTCTATACCATGTGGTGATTTAGAATAATATAAGTAGATATCACCGTCTGAACAAATGTGAATGTATATATTTTTTTTGTTTGTTAATTAGTTATTACAATTCGATTGATTAATAATGTCAGAACTCCTTTTATATTTTGTAAAAGAAACAATGTCTAAAACATTCAAAATAACAACCCTATGGTTTCAATGGAGCGTAGGTATTTATTTTAACAAACAGGCTTAGTTTCTATACTGTGTCATACTTATACTGTGACGTAGTTGCATACGTTAACTATAGTTGATAATTCAACTAGTTGAATTTTCAATGATCAGATGAAGAGCGTTACGTTCGTTGATCAACGTACACCTAGACTACAACGCTTTAGTTTTGTCGTATAATACATTAATACAACCAATTAAAAAGTCGACAGCTAAAAGAAGAACGCACCATTCATCTATAAACATGTTACGAAACTGCAACGCATAACTTTATCTGTATAATACAATGGAATTCGGTTGTTTCCATTATTAAAATTTCATGTAACTTTGACAGCTGAAATAATTTAAACTCTAAAGTCAAAGGAAGTAAGTAAATATTTGAACACGCGTATCAATTTGAATTATAATTATTAGACCATAGTTTTTTTTTCTATCTCTGTTTATAATGTATTGATCTGGTAATGA